CAGAAATTAGCCATTTTAATTTTAATGAACTCTTTTACAATAGTCCTGTGTAATATTACCTATAGCAAAAACATACAATATGAATCAAGATTACAAGTGGACTGCAGCCACACTCAGAACATCTAACCTTCTTACATCTTAGAAATCTCTAGCTGGGATTCTATGGCTATCTGACTTAAAATCACCTCTCGATTTATGGATATTCTCTGGTTTTCTTGGGCATGAAAGCTACAGCTGTTGCTTGCCAATAACTTCAGTCACAATATTGGATTACATGACTTTAATATTACGGGAGGGGATTCTTAGAGCATTTTCGTACTTTCAGTTGGAATGGTTTCATGCTGTCAACCTAACTTCAGTAGTTCATGGGTGATACTATTCCAGTGTGTATTTCAATTGTTTGGAGATAAAACAGATAGCGAATGCCATTGTTAGAGCTGAATAACCCTCTATGTCATTGTTTAGTAGGCTGCTAGAAGCATTTGCCCAAACTTACTAGTTTGTTTTGATATTAGGGAAGATAAGTCATAATCTGATTTATTCTTAATCTTCCATTATCAGATAGTATAGGAAGCAGGCGGTAGCATCCAAAATCTCCTCGTTGGGATTTTCTCCAGGTCTACTATTAGCTATGGATTACAATCAAGCCAAAGCACTTATTAAACAACGTATCACAGACACAGAGCGCCAACTAGATCTGGCCTCGGCTCCAACCTTCCTTATCAGTGAAGACAGCAGATACCTTGCCTCCCCTATGGCATATTTAACAAACTTAGAGGTTCCTATTCATCGAAGGGCTTTCACCCTGGCCCGATGCCACGCTCTCCCATCAGCTGTACTCGAAGGCCGCTACCGGAAGATCCCTTTCCCAGAGAGACTCTGCCCCTGTGACTCGGGTCATGTAGAAACAATAGAACATGTGCTCCTTCAGTGCCCGTTCTACAGGGATACCCGTGCCAGGCTTATCTTACCTCTGATAGACAAGCACCCAGGCCATTCAGGACAATTTTATACCTCCCTGCTACTTGCAGATACTAATTCAGCTACAACCTACAATGTCGCAAAGTTCTGTGCAGCAGCATACAAAATCCGCCAGGGAATGACTAGTTCCAAAGTCAACTGTGTGTCCAGTAATCTTCTTCCCTGAATCTACAATTTGGTGATGGATCTGGGCATTGTATGTTTTTACCCTGTTTCCCCTTCTGCTCCCTCACCCATATTGTGTTTTTAGTAGTTTTATTTATATTTTTAATGTACCAAACATGCCAGGTTTGTATGGAAATGTGACTCTATCTCCTGTGCTGGTCAATGACCGAAATAAATGATTTGACTTGACTCAGACAGTATATACATTTACCCACTAAATGGACAAGTATGTGGAAATTGACCAGTTACAATGATATCTATATCTTGATTTTAAAAATCTCAAATGGTAATGGAATATTTAAGCCACATAACAAAAAGATGATAAGAGTCTATGATATTTTTATACACATTATTTAGATAGTAGACTGTGACCCCTTAACGGAAATATATTATTAGATAAATGATTATAGAACATTAATAGGTAGAAAGTATTGCACTGTATGCAACAAACACTTGCAAGTGTATGTCTACTTAAATAAAATAAAATTTAAAAAGATGATATTTATCTCCTCCTTTTAATGTTTCAAGCATACAAGAGTACATATGAAAATACTTAATAAACAAAATCCATTATTCTACTTGTGTCACGGGGGGGGGGGGGGGAAAAAGCAATCTATTATTTCCTTATAATAGATAAGAATGAGTGGATGGATGGAAAATTATCAGGCAGACAAACAGAAGGTAGCAAATAACACATCAAAATCTAACTTACCCAAACACATTGTCAGGTGAGGTTATTCATCTTCTTCTTGAAACATTTTGAGACACATGTGAACAACCTCTTATTTGCTTTCCTTTGCAAGGTGCCAAGAAAGAGCATCATTTAAGACTGATTTGGCTTCTTGAGATTTTACTCCCACGAGTCCAGCTCACCTGATCACAAGTCATTGCTTCCATTCCCTCTCCCATCTAAGGTGTTTTCTTCCACATTGAGAACAAAATTGAACAACAAATAAGCATGTCAAATATTTCTGATTACAACATCAAACAAGCATGCCGAATACTTCCTCATAAATATTGCTTTATGGGGAAATAATATTCCAAAGCGTATCATTGGAAACATATCCTTTATAATACCAAAGCTTTCAGAATTAATAAAACAATGAAAAGAACAATGAACTAACCAAACAATTTCAATCTGGGGTTCCAGTGAGAAAAAAGCCATAATAAGTAATTGTCACCAGTGTCTATAAAGAACATAATTATAGGTACTGTCCACATTTGTGTCAGTGGTGTAAACCAGTATGCATTCACAAATGCCAGCTGAGTGATTTTTTTGTTAGTTGCACTTTGGTTGCATGTAGAGCAAGGCTGCACAGTCCTAGCAGAAGAGAATGGTCATTGTTATCCAATCCCCAAAATAATGAGACCACAAAACAGGTATGGGTTAAAATATGAGCAACTTTTATTAATGTTACCAAACTAAACTTTATTACTTGCAGATAATACTAAAGGGTGGCATGAATTTGGTGTGGATCCCCATCTGAAATAATCCTGAATGATCACCTAACTCCATAGATGGTGATTATGCTTATGCAGTCAAGTTGTAGGATCTTGGACCTTGCCTTTACCATATCAGTTCCATGTTTTTTTACTAACAACCTTCAGAAAATTGATGTTTTCTGGATTACCTGCTGGACTTCAGCTGATTACATATTTATTTATTTATTTATTATTCGAACTTATATGCCGCCTGGGGCTCGGAGCGGCTTACAAGAACAGGCTAAACTAACACAATTTAAAGCAATTTCAACATTTGAAAACAGCAGTAGAGATCAAAGTCCCATCAAAACGATATGTCTTACATGCCCTGCGGAAAGCTGATAAGTCCTGCAAGGCACGGACTTCAGGTGGCAGAGTATTCCAGAGCGATGATGCAGGCATAAATTCCATTTGCGGCATCATATATTGTTTTGAGATTATTATGGAATGAGATTCCCAGAACTTTCATAAGCAAGTCACACAAAATCAAGGATGGCACAGATGGGGTGACACTTGGAATTTCCTATCACTGGTGACCCATGATGACTGATTAGATGTGGGATATGCACTCTAGTGCCTTCAAGCTGAGATTGTGCAGCCAGTAAAGTATAAACCTATTAGAAATTCTTTTGCTGAGGTTTATGCTCTATCAGCATCAGCAAGTGCGATACACCTCCCACGGCCGACCCAAGAAGTACGCTCACACATGATGTTGGGATGAACAATGGCCACAACTCATTTATTGATAACAGGAACAAGGGTTGGCAGCCAAGCATGGGTCCTGGATCACGATCGGACAGCCCGCTGCTGTCCAATACCGCAAAAGGTCAGAGTGCCGCCGGCACAATACCGGGCAAACGTAAACTTTTCACCCCCGGGACCACCAGACATTCCCCCTTTCCACTGGGGGGGATACCAAGCCAGATCCAGGACCCATGCCCCACGCCAACAAGGAGTTGTGACAAGAAGCATAAAACAAACAAGTAGCTGTTAACAGGTAACCATGACAAGGTAAAAACAACAACAAACCACCAATGAAAACATAAACCGCATGCAGGGTGGGTGGGATGGATCAGCTGTTGCAGGCACAGTGCCTGCTGGGAAGCTTGGGGCAGCCTTATATAGGCTGCCCACGAAGAGGGAGAGGCCAACTCGGCCTCTCCCACAGCGAGGCGTGGTCAGTTGGCCATTGGCCAATTGACCTGCCGGCGGGAAACCTTCCTGCCATCCGAGGGGGCTTCTGGGAGGAAGAAGCCTCCCTGAAGCAAGAATGGCAGTGGGGGATGCCCTGCACCGCAACTTCTTTCGCCCGGTAAGTCAGGCCATGCCTTTTAAGGTTATTCTGGGGGGGTTGTTTTGTGAATGGGTGCCCTGCCGGAAAGTCCCAGGAAACGTGGATGTTAGGGGGAGGTGTCTGGACTTCAACCCAGGCCCAATCTCATTTAAGAAACCCAGTTGTGCCTTGCCTTGCCTTTAAAAAATCCCAAATGGTAATGGAATATTTAAGCCTTGCCTTGCCTTTTGCCTTTTGCCTTGCACTTCTCGTCTGCTCTGGATTATGTTTTTGCAGTATTCACTCTTTGTCTTTTGCACTTGAAGGAGTTGACTACTATTGACTTCCCTCAATGTTGGATCTTGACTGACTTTCACATAATCTGCCAGTGCATGTTTCTCTTCTTCTATCATTTGTCTCACTTGCAGAAGCCCCCTACCTCCTGATTTTCTGGGCAGGTAGTCTGTCAACATCGAGTAGTGGATTGTTGTTGTTGTTGTTGTTGTTATACTGACACCATAGTATGCCACAGCAAACGAGATCTATATACTGGATTTCGTATCACAAAATCACAAGTCGAACACTTCCCAAGCATCTAGGACTGTGTGATGTATTTTCAAATGATGTGCGCAGATCCAAGTTGTTGTTGTTGTTGTTGTTGTTATTATTATTATTATTATTATTATTATTATTAAGAACATACGTATAGGTACTGTCCATATTCCTATGGTATAAACCAGTATGCATTCACAAATGCCAGCTGAGTGATTTTTTTAATAGTAGCACTTTGGTTGCACGCAGATCAAAACTGCACAGCCCTAGCAGAAGAAAACGGCCATTGCTGTCCAACCCCCAAAATAAAGAGACCACACAACAAGTATGAGTTAAAATATGGCTGAAATAATCCTGGGTGACCACTAAAGGAAACGTAACAGAGAATTCTGCCCCAAGGTTATTGAGGCCAGACTCTCCCCATTCCTAGGGGGTGCCTTTGATGTACACCAAAATTTAAATCCCTTGCTATTTCCACATGTATCCTATTAAAAACTGTACTCTCCCAATTCACCCACCTTAAACAGTGTAAGGTAGGTGAACCCCCCTCCTAGAATATGGGGGGGGATTCCTACCCAGCTCCGACAGTGACCAATTAATTATACTTTTAATGGGTGGGAGGGCAGGTCAGCTCACTGCTTGGAATGAACTCCAGTGGCAGCTGCTAATTCCTGTAGCCCCACCCTCAGAAAATAGCTCCAGCTGGAGCTATTTTCATTATTTCATTCCTTTGGCAGAGGTGGCGAACCACTTTCCAAAAAGAAAAATGGGTTCCCCTAAAATTGTGGAGACCAAAATCCACTGATTGTGGTAATGTGAAAATAACTAAATTAACTCAATGTATATGTTACAAATACACATATCAAAAAAACAGGACTGCCACATTCACATTAAGTAGAAACAACTGGTTCTTCTCTTGAAGTATAAAACAAAGTCTTTGTGTGAGTAAACCACTTTCCAAGCCCAACTGCATGACAAAGGAAATTGCCATCCAATCCCCAAAATAACAAGACCCCGCAACATATATTGGTTAAAATAAGACAAATGTTTATTAATGTTACCAAATTAAAATTTCTGACTTACAGATAATTCTAAAGAATGGCATGAACTTGGTGTGCATAAAGTCAAGGCTAATTTGGGCGAAACACCAGCTGCATGGGGAAGGGAAATTAATTGTAAAAGTACAAGTAGCAATTTGTGTTATTGCTATCACAGAGTATTTTCCAGTGCACAAATGAAATATATGCAGTCATCTCCAGAAACTCATGAAGTTACAACTTCCATTCAATGGGAACATAACTGTGACATGGCGCAACAGCCACCTAACTCCATAGATGGTGAATTTTGGCTATCCAATTAAGTTATAGGATCTTGGCTGTTACTTTAATCATCTCAGTTCCATTTTTTCACTAACAACCTTCAGAAAAGTTTACACTAAATTGATGTTTTCCAGATTAGCAGCTGGATCTGTTAATATATAGACATGCATTCCATGTGTGTCATCATATATTGTTTTGTGATTATTATGGAATGAGGTACCCAAAACTTTCATAAGCAAGTCACACAAAATCAAGCATGGCAATGGAAGTCCACAGATGGGGTGACATGTGGAACTTCCTATCTCTGCTGACCCATGGTGACTGAGTAGTTGTGGGATATGCACTCTAGTGCCTTCAAGCTGAGATTGTGCAGCCAGTGAAGTGTAAGCCTAATAGAAGTTCTCTGGGTGAGGGTTATGCTCTATCAGCATCAGAACAAGAATATCTATTTAGATGTGTAAATAGATCAGCTTCTCCTGAATACCTAGAAATTGTGTAGAACTAGAGTAATACTTTCCATCAATCAATCTGCTGCATGCAGTTAAGAGGTCTCTCTCATTTACCATTTACTGCACAGGGCTTTAACCTGAGCACAATCAAAATGACACACCAGAAGAAGGGGGGCAGGAGTGATTTTTCTTCTCTCCCTTCTCCTGCCATATCCCCCCCCCCCCACTCCCCCCCCCCCCTTGGGTGTCCTCCCAATACAAAAATAAAAGAACCCATATCATTTCTATGTAGTATGAGAGCTCCAGAGTAGGGGGAATGGCGGCCAAGTGAGTTATTTTCTTTTTAAAAAATGTTTTTCTGGGAGGTTTTGTTTTGTATCCAGATGCCCTGCCGGAAAGTCCCAGGAAAGCATGGATGTTGGGGTGAGGTGTCTGGATTTCAACCCGGGCACAATCACATTTAATAAATCTGATTGTGCTCAGGTTAAAGCCCTGTGTGGAACCACCCTAAATGAGAGATACCTCTTCACTGTATGCAGCATATTGGTTGGTTGATGGGAAGTGTTACTCTAGCTCTACACAATTTCTGGGTATTCAGAAGAAGTTGATCTGTATATGCATCTAAACAAAATTCTTGTTCTGATCCT